TGCTTCTGTTGTTTTGAGTAGATTGATATTTGTGACGTGTCATAAATCACTCATTGGGATGAAATTATGTGTTCAAAGGAAGAGAAGAGAATGGAAAAAATGGTGCTGTTGGCTACACTAAGATAACCAATGGAATTCGCTTATGTGTAGGCTACGTTTTGGTGATAAAGTGATATACAATAGAAACGAATATTTTGTCGTTACCTGGATTGAACAGAGTTCAAATGAGAATAGATCAGCAGATTCTTTGATCAGACATTTTTAGGATTTACTTGAGGTTGTAGGTATCTCTTCTTCACCCACACCCTGCAATTGCTAATTATGTTTGTAGTGCTGTGCAGTCTTCCATCAAACTTTTTATTTCATAAACTTCGACTTAGCACATTTTCAAAAGATTCTCTGGAAATCTTTGAGTGCTCTGTTGTGATTGTTATCTATTCTAGAAGTCATTCAAGGTCATTATATCATCGAACTCAACAGTTTGCTCACCAAACTAGTATTGTTTCTTTCAGAAAAGGATCAACGAATCCAAAGATGAACGTTACTTGTTTTATTTGTAAGTCTGAGATTCCTCTGATGTCAACTATTAATTGTATATATGAATATACATGTAAAATTATATGGACTACGTCATCAGATCGAAACATGTTCTAGTTATATTTAGAAATTAATAATTTATTGATGATATAGAAATGAACGAAGAAAATTAAAGTGATTAATAAAAATTGTTTCAGAAAAACAAATCTTCGTACTTGAAAATATTGAATAAGATATCAATACAGTCCTCTTTATATTTACATTACAAATAATTCACAGTTCATATTATAATTTCAATAACTTCGGTATTTACCTTTTTTTTTATTGTAGATTGCGACGAAACCTTTTGTTATTTAATACAAAGATAAAAATATTTTATTAATCCAAGCTTTCTAGTTGAACTATATATAAAAAAACATAATTTCGGGTATATCATAACGATATGAGAAAATACATCAAATTTGCAAAAAGAATAATATGGATATTATTGATAATTTTATTCCATATCACCGTCAATATCTTGATCAATCCAATCCGGTGGTTGAAAATTTTCAATCATTGACCAGATGAGAGCTAAAATAAAAATAAATATTCAGCTATTTTGCATTTTAATTCTTCGGTCACTTATTATATTTCATTAAAAGAACAAAAACAATGATCTTGTCAGAAAAATTACTTACATTTCCATTGTGCCGTACTATGGTTAGCATCTTGATGTTCATCAATCACAGGTTCTCCCAATGGTTCCTCTATTAGATCATGGAAGCCTGAGAAAAATGGATCAGCTAAATAATAAATATTACATATGAAACAGAGAACTCAATCAGTGCTAATATTCTAATAATTTACCTAATGCTTCTTCAGCAGTTGGGCGTTTACGAGGATCAAAAGTTAGGAGACGATCAAGTAATTCAATAGCTATAAAGAAGTAAAATAGATAAAATTAATCTATTTGTTGTAGATTTACCTAGTGGTGAAACATCAGATATTGGATCTGCTTCTGCTGGCTGGTATTTCAAACCAAACTTCTGATTAAAATCGATTTTTGTCCGAGGTTGGAATCCACCAATATAATTTATTTCTTCTAAAATATTTTCGGTACAATTATAATTACATTGTGTGTTATAAAGAAGTTCTATGAAATATAAAATCTAGTAATCGATCGATCAAGCAATCTTTAAAACATCTCTTGATTTTTTTTCAATACAGTCAAACAAACTTACATTATTTTGAATGCTACTTAAAGTTAATCTCGATTTAAACTCGCAAGTAGCTTTTAGAGAATAGCATCTTCTTAAAAAATATTTTAGATCTATCGCTCGTTCAACATTATGTAAAATAATGATAGCTAAAATAATACCTCTTTCCAGTATAAATAAGTACCTATGTTTTTCAAATTATGAACATTTTTATATGTAATCTGTTTGTTTCTTTTTTTGTTTTTATACAAACCTTGAGTACATGTTGCTTTTAATGTATCCAAGTCGGGTGTACCAATAATATCAAATATTTTATTTAATTGATCAACATCATCTGTTCCACGAAAAATAGGGCTAAGTAGGATTAATTCTGCCATTATACAACCAACTGACCATATATCAAGTCTATCATTATAACGTCCCCAATTAACATATACTTCTGGTGCACGCCACCATCTATGAAACAAAATATTTTTCAACTTTTAAAATTAAAAACTATTTAATATACCTCGTAGCAACATAACCAGTTTGAATACCGTTCGATAAAGCACGAGATAAGCCAAAATCAAGAATCTGTAGAAAACAAATTGCAAAAGGAGTAATTAGAAATGTCATGCAGGACATACGGAGTAATTATTATCTATCGTCAGTACTCTGAGCTCTTTTACTTCAATGTAAACAATTAAATTAACTAACGAGAGAATGAAAGAACGACAAGTCATTTTCGTCAATAAAAAATGTACTGAATTGTACTGTGCCCTTATATTTTGCATTCATTAGTACTATTTATAAAACTTACTGCAACATTGGTATTGCCATCGATTCCAATATTTGATGGCTTTAAATCCTATTTAAATCAAATAGAAAAAGAATCATATTATATATGGCAAAGTTTATATATATATATATATATATATTCAACTTACACGATGAATGATACCAGCTGAATGCATAAACTAAACAAAAAAAGAAAAGAAAAGCCACGAAAGTAACATTACATTGGATTGATATTTATTAAAATTAGATTTATACCTTAAGACCACGAAGAAGTGAACCAATTATTCTTTTAATTTGTTCTTCTGTAAATGTTTTCTGACGTTGTTCTTCTGTAAATATTTTCTGACGTTTAAGTTTAATAACTCGATCCAAGTCAGAAGGATAGTACTCAAGTACAAAGTACCTGAAAAATAATATATTCATCTTTATCAAACAAAATTATTCTACAAAAAAA